TCCTTTGATTTTTTTTCTTGTCACTTCCCACCTCTATCTTCTGTTTTAGCGTCAGAGAGGTCTCGAGAGTTGAGTCTTTTATCTCTACCTCACATACCTTACTTTCCTTGATTTCGTGCTTCTCCTTTTCCGTATGTACTTTACTTGTTTCGACCCCATCAACTCTATTCCGAGGGTTGACTTTAAACTGTTTGACTGAAATAGACTGATTGTTACCATCCACCTTTATAACTCTATAAGCCAAAAGATCTTGTATTTGTCGTTTGAAGTTACTACAATTCTTGATAGAGTGTCCTTGGGCTCCAACATGATATTCACAAGAAACTTTCTCATTATACCAGCTCGGATAAGGGGACAGCAGAGGCTTAGCCAGGCATGGAGCAATCAGCTGGGCTTGGAGCAACTTGTGATATAACTGGCTGTATGAAAGCTCTTTTGACCTCACTTTCTCCTTACCATTATTATGAGAAGATTGAAGACCTCGTGATTGATCGGTGAAACACTCGCTTTGAAGTTTTAACGTTTGACCAGAATCTTGGGAGAGACATTGGTTTGCAAATCTCCCTTCATCGTCAAGTTTTGAGCTTTCGGGGAGCTTAGGTTTTCCATTTTCAAAGCATAATAGCCCTTCCGTGATAAGTTTTTAAACTTTAAATCTCAGGATCGTACAATCTTTTGTAGAGTGGTTAAACTCTCCAATATGATAGTCACATGAATTTTTGACATCTTGCCAGTATAGACGCGAATAAGTATTGTACCTCGGAGGAAAAAGCGTCAGGAGCCCACTTTCAAAGAGAATGGGTAACAAGTCTGAGTATGAGATCAGAATCGGAATCAGAGGTATCTTCTTCTTCTTCTTTCTATTCTTTTTGGCCTTCTTTACTGGCATTTGAACCTCCTCTATGCCTCTCTTCTTTGAGTCAGACTCAACTTTTGTGTTAGCAATTTCACCTTCAACTTTTGCTTTTCCACACATGATATTTGTCATATTTCCTAGAATCGTGCTCGATTCTTTGAGTTGACCTGGATTACCACACTCCCTAACAGGTTCTTGATCACTTATTGTCATCGCATTGGCTGCACCACTAACAATCATATTCTCACTTGAATTCATCATATTTCCTTGCATAATAGGGTCCTCTAACGATTTCTCCCCATGTATTACTGTAACCATCATACTCATCAACTTGGAAACCTATTCCCTAGACTCAACTTGGAACTTTCTTACTTCCTCAGTCATTTCTTGCTGTGTCCTTACGAGTTGCTCTTGGATTCTCTCGATCCTACTAACACGTACTAATATTTCATTCATTTCTTTCAATTTTTTTCAGAAACACACCTCGGGTAACTTCAATTTGCTTTTAGAGCTTCTGTCACATTATCTTTCATGAGTTATTCTCACGTTTTCATGATTGATGCATGTAAAAAAGTTTAAATTAAAGCAATGCGAATGAAAATGTGGATGTCAAATGGAAATGCAACCCGATATTGATTCCAAAATAACTTAGTTTATATAAAAAGTACTCAACAACACACAACGTATAATCACTTAGGCATAGAGATTATATCGACATAAATACTAAACGTAGAATCTTACCTTATTCCCTAATCTTTCGAGCTCTATCATCAATCCCATGATGCACCGTTTTTCCTCTGTTTCTGGAATCATAAAAACTCTTAAAGTTGTCGCTTCTTCAGGTAATTCGTAGAATTGGCGAGCTACATCGCGGATCTAATCCATTGCTCTCTCCATTGCTTCATGTTGTCTTTGAATGGTGTCCTGAGCCTGCCGTAGAGCAATTCCAAGCTCTGGATTAGTTAAGGGTCGGCTCTCTTCTAGCTATTGGATTCGCTGATGGCATTTATGCACTATGACTTCTAATTCAACAATCTTCTCTTTTAAGGCCTCGTTTTCTTGCATAGTTACCTCTTGTGCGGATGAGTGGATCAACTCTGCTCCTTCTAGCTCCGCTATCTTCTTCTTTAACATATCATTTTCTTTTTGAAGACTCTTGTAAGGGTTCCGAAAAGTCTCATCGATACTAAGAATTTATGCTTCGAGCTGTTCAATCTGTGCTCGCCTTTGTGTTAATTCCTGGTTAGCCTCATGTTTGTTCTCTCTCAATCTCTGAGTGTGCTACAAGGCTCAGATAATTACTTTCTCTGGCAAAACTGATTCTTCGGTAGTGACAAGGATGTCTCTGAACCGCATCTGCCCGTACTCGGACTAGGTCTGAACACTGATTGTATTCTCAGCCCATCGAAAGACATTGCTGCCTTAATCTCTTTTATAATAAATAGTTAATCTGGGAATCAATATCGTTTATGAAATGATGTGATATGACAATGATACATGCAAAAATGCAATAAGAGCATACAAAAAAAAAAATCAATGTTAGTAGAAACAAGACCACAAGAATCAAGTTAGTTGAAATGATTAGTCAAAAAAAATCTTAAATATGACTTAAAGTTGAGACTAAAAAATAAAGCATACAAAGGAAATTAATGGTCCTAACCGTATGCGTTCTAGTTCTCCTAGGTTATCCGCATGGTTTTAACGGGGTAGGCTTACTAAATTCTTTAAATGAAGTTGAGTTCTAGCAAAGGGTTCCCAAGCCACTTTTACAACCTGCTAAGGTTGCCCCCGATTCTGGTCTATTATAGACTTGTGAATCAAGTTCAGCTCAGGGGATCACATCACTAAAAGCGTAACTCATAACTGATATCCGGATAAGCAACTTAGAGTGCTTTCCAGAGATACTTTGTCAGACCCACACAAGGAAGCCCAATGCTCCTCGTGAGGTGTGAGGTTTCTCCCTACTTAGGTAAAATGGGTTTGAGCTCGAGTGTAGAGCTATGATATGCAACAATCATAAATATTTCACAAAAGTGTAAGCATTAACCAGAGAGAAATCTTTTTTTTTTTAAATAACATAATGAACAGTAAATTAAATAAGATCGAACTTGTAATTCAAAAATTGTAAATACAGGGTAACCAATTCGTGGCTCGACTCTCAATTTGTTTTAAAAACCAAAAGTCCCCAGCGGAGTCGTCAAGCTGTCGTAACCGTTTTTCGCCCGGAGGGAAAAGACCGATATCGACTCGGGGGTTTTCTCTTTAAAAATTGTTTGGAAAGGTGAAGAGTCACCACTAATCATTTGAGGTGAGATTGGAACACCATAAAAATGGGTGATTTTAATAAAACATCTTATTTTTATCAAAATACCAAGTTTCAGGGTCTGCAAAATCCCAAAATCAGGTTCGGGAGTCGGTTACGTGTGGGGAAGGATTAGCACCCCCACAAGCACCCAAAAATTGGTACCTAGTTGATTACCCTATATTTAAAATCAAAAATTTGGAGTTCGATATTTATTTAATTTAAAAATCATTAAGGATGCAAAGTTGAAAAGGGTATTCATTTATCGAGACCGATAGCATTCGCCCCCGAGCGTAATGCGGGAGATCAGCTATTGTGTCTAATAACCGAATATTGCCTCGTTTTTTAAAAACATGATGTGGTTTTGAAAATGATGTCAACTTATTCAAGGAATTATCAGTAGTCAACCCCTGAGCACGATCGCGAGAGATATACTATTAATTCCTTAATAAGTAAACAGTGCCTTAGATTTGTAAATATAATGCAATCAAACAAAATTTTATTTGTCTTAATTAAACTAAAAATAAATTAAGATCTTTTCTAACTTAGAGTGTCAAATTATGAAAATTAAGGAATCTAAGAGCTCAAATTTAAAATATAAGTTATAGTATTAATACTTAATGCTATATTTTAAAATGGATTAAATATTCACGTATTAGAAAGTTTCTCTTAATAATTTTAAAATGATCGAATATTACCCTTAGTCAATTTATTTCAATTCGAGTCAAGCAATGCTTATGAGGATACCATGCGAGATTAATTATGACTAAAATGAACTAATATACAGACAAACAAAAATAATGCTTTTGTACAAATACTGAATTATCAACCATCTAAAAAACATTAACATATATATATATATATATATATATATATATATATATTAGCCATGCACATAATAAATAATCAAAATATGGGATTAATTAACATATTAAATATTCATACATGTAAAATATAATCGTAAAATATCAGTGCATAAAAGATGTTACATATAAGAGTAAAAAATATTTAACACAACAAAAAATAAATAAACTTATAATATAAACTTCATAAATACTTTTATATGTATATTCAAAGATTGATGTTTAATAAAAAAATAACATACGTAAATTATACATATATATATTCGTATTTAATAAAAATAATATGATATATACATGGAGTATTAAGCCTGTTATGCATATATATATAATAGATATATATTACATATATATATATATATATATATATATATATATATATATATATATATATATATATATATATATATATATATAATAATATATATGTACGTGCACACGAAACAATTATTTATAACAAAGATATTAGTGTAAATATAATAAGGTATCAAAATTAATATGCGACTAACATAGAAGCAAGTAATAAAATCACAATAGAATATTACACAACATGAGGGACTAAATAATTAAAACTGGAAATTTAATGTCTCAAAAGCGAAATAAATAACCAACACAACACAGGATATAAAAATCACATATTACAAGCACTAAAAATGTAATAAACCCATATAGTTAGGACCAAAATATAAAAATTCAGTATTACATGCCGAAAATAAAAATATATTGTCTATAGTGACCAAAATAAATGTGCACAAAAAGTGAGAGGCAAAATTATAAATTTGGGAAACTTTAATTAAGGACCAGAATGAAATATCCTTGAACTCAGAGACCTCACTCACGCGATTTATCCATGCAACATAAGGAGGGAACCCTAATCTATAAAACTACGTAATTTTAATTTTAACATATATAAAATATTACAAGGTTTTGGCTAAACCAAATTCATTCTCCTCCTCCCCTTTTGTTTATGCGACAGACTTCCATCTTTTCTCTCAGCATCTTCTTCTTCTTCTTTTTTTAGTCTTAAAACCTTAAAAAATAAACTAAAAATACCTTAAATGTTCGATCTAACTCCACTCATCACCGGTGAGAGGTCTTAAAATGAGGTAAGGTCTCTATTTTTTCTTTATTTTTTTTACATGCAAGGTTTTTTTTTAATTCGAAAAATAAATAAAAATATACCTCCAACAAAAATGTTCGAATCTGATTTTGGGTACCCGAATGGTTGCTGATTTTATATTCTTATTTTTTTTAAAAACACACACACACTTTAGAAATTGAAGACGAAAATGAATTCAAAAATAAAAATATACCTCAATAAACTGTTATTGATTTCTGATAATTCGAAAATGAAGGGAGTGAAACCCTTTGTTTACACTGATTGACTATTGAATATTGGGAATCAAATATCTCTGTTTTTTCAAATCCGGTAGAAGAAAACCCCCAATTCCCTTTTTACAATTTGTTTCCCCTCTTTTTTTCTTTTTTCTTTTTCTCTGCTCGAATGATTCCCTCCTTTTTAGCTTTTAGTCTCCACCGAATCCTTTGTCGTTGTATGTTAATTTTCTATGTTTTTGGTGATATTTGGTTGAAGCAGGTGAATATTTAGGCATATGCAATGACGTTTTCTGAAGATTTGGGTGCTTCACGTGATGGTGCTGCAAGAGTGTGGTACTTGAGCTTCAAGCTGGGTCATATAGGTTGATGTTGAGCTTTGTAATGGGCTCTGGAATTTATTTTTGTATTTGGCCTGCATGTAAATTAATAATAATAATTAATAATAATAAAATATTAAAAAAAGAGACAAAAAATGAGTGTCGACAAGTGGATCATAATTTAAACTTAAGACTTGTATATGTAAAGTCTCACTACTCATACAACATGTAATCGAGAGGTACCAATTTTGGGTGCTATGGGGGTGTTTATCCTTCCCCACGCGTAATCGAATCACGAATCTTTAAAAATAATTTTTTGTAATATACAGACCAATTTGCATCTTTTAAATAATTTTTCTAAAATTCGTTAAAAAAACGTTTTTAGGTATTCGACCTACTTAACCCAAAGGTCGATAGAGAATCTAAAATCATTTCCAAATTAAAATCAAAATTATCAAAAATCCAATTTTCTCCAAAATAAGTTATAAACGTAAACTCATAGTTTTTTTTTTAAAAAAAAAGGAAATTCATTTTTTGTTTTAAAAAACGTTATGACAATTTTTTTTTTTTTTTTGAAAAATTAAGAATTGAGGAGAAAGGATAAGAAAAATATGACACAATGATTTATAGTAGTTCAACTTCTAAACCAAATCTACATCCACTACCTTAGCACCACACTAAAGATTTTCTAACAAATTCACTAATTTGTTCTTTCTTTTTCTACGCTCAAGAGTAACCTTTACAAATTCCCTAGTTTTTAATGGCCAAACTAGAATCACTCCTCATTTTCAAAAGGATAAAAAAAGTAAACAAAAATATCTCATAAAGGTATGTGTTTACACAATTAAGCTCACAAAAAACACTCTATGTACAAGAGAAAAGAAATAATAAATAATGAAAAGTTTTTCTCTTGACCTTGATTGCTTGAATAGGTGTTGTAACCTTCTTCAAGTGCCCTTAACTTGTTTTTATATGTTGGAATGAGTTTGTAGCCATTTCTAGCCATCTGAGATTAATTTTCTATAAAACAAAACTACGCAAAACAAAGATTGTCGGTACTCGGGCCAAGAGTATTTGTGTTCCTTTATAACATTTAAATAAACCAGTTGTTAAAGACCGTTGGGCTAACTAGTATCGATATTAGGGTTTTATGGTATCGATAATACTGTGTAAAGTAGAATCAGTACCAATTTTGCTTGCTGGAATTTGAACACTTTGGAAAATAACAGGTAGTATTGATACTATTAGTGGAGTACTAATACTTCTCTTAATTATGGTATCGATACCTTAAGAACTATACTGGTATTTTTCATGCGGTATCGATATTTTAGAATAGTATCGGTACTACTTACCCAAGAAATAGTTTTGTGTTCAAATTCTTGTTTAATGGACTTTAAATTATTTTGAAAACTTTGAATAAATTCAACCAAGTCCAAAAACATTTTGCCCTTAAATTGTTATATCAAAATAGGTTCAATAGTACTATTATTGCAGTAATCAAACCTTTTAATAAATTATGTTGAACAAAAGACTAATCTTTGGACTAATGTAATTCTCATATAAAAAATACCTTATAATTGTCACATGTTATTAACACTGTTGAAATCAGGCCAAATATAACTTTCCTTTGGGTCAATTAATAAACGCTTGAATCACAAAAAACACATAATCATCTTGATATATTAAACAAATCAATATACACAAAAGAATTCACTTTGGCAGCATTATGTTTCAACTAATTTATCAAAATATTAGACATAGTCATAATATTAATTAATTTGTTTAAATATATATATAATATATATATATATATATATATATATATATATATATTCTATTAACCAACAATCAAAATTGAAAAACCAAATTGAATATATGCATATATCACATTAACAATATAAATAAAATCATATAAATATTATCAATCAATCAATTTCTCGTAATTTTATCTTTCAATTAAATTAAAAGATAACCAAAATAATAATAAATATGAATACAATTAAATCTTATCTCAAGATATTAGATGCTTCATTAATATTTCATCTTTAGATAAAATATTTACTTTAAGTGATATCTAGTGCGGTAACCAAACACTGATAATGAGAACATGTCAAGCAAAAGTCTTCTTTTGTGTCAATTTATTACTCACACATCAAACTGCATAAATGTCAAATGTTTATTACCTAAGTTGTACATGCGATTATGTCAACTATTAATCTTCATTTGAGTCGATCAATACTAAAATATCATAAGTTATGTACGTAACCTTAATATTTAAAAAAAATATATTTTCCATAACTGAGGTCACTTTAACGACTTACTGCTTTAATTAAGTCGTCTCAAAATAAATATCAATATTCAAATTTAATACTTCTATAACAATCAAATGTTAAAACTGAAATTTTTTTATTGCACTATAGTATCTGAAATAACGTAAAATAAGGTTACATAAATGGTGATATAAAAAATTAGAAAGTCAAGTCTTTGATTGTTTTAGAAGAATTCCTTAAACTTACATTTAATTCATAACTTCATAAATTACCAAAGTTAATCTGAATTCAAAATAACCAATACTTAACAAAAAGTCAAAATCAAGTCATGTCAATGAATTAAATCTTTAATTAAACTGAATCAAATATATTAATGCCAAATATATTTATACATTCCATAATAGTCAAAAAACCAAAGCTGAATTTGCTAATCAAGTTGTCGTTTCCAAAGTAACCCATAATAAGGTTGTATGTAACATCCTTAACCCGTGTACGTACTTCAATACGAGTTAAAGATGTCACATAAGCTATTTAAAGACACTTCCTAGTCGAAAGTCGGTAAAATTAGTTTTTCTTTTAAATTCATAAATCTTACTTCAATCACTAAAATATTTAATCGCATAAAATCAAAAAAAAATATTTTATCATTCGTTTGAAACTCGATTTTATGCAGCTATGTAGTTGTTCGATACTATTTCATATAAAGATTAAAACTGCCTAAAATCTGCCAAATTTAAAATCCATATTGATAACATTTAAAATATAACTTAATAACTACTATTCATGCATCTACTAATTATACCTAGTAGTGTCCATATTTAGTCGATATACTTAACAGTTTACAAATTGACTTATAACTATCATATCATAGCAACATAATATTCATACAATATACATATCAGCTAGAAAAGTCAAAATATTATAAAATAACATACTGAAACTATGGGGCAGATATGGTCTTCAAAATTGATGTCAAACTACACTCTACTTCGTTCGCCTTTTTTTTACCTACGCGTGAAACAATCACACACTACGTCTTTATTTAGTGAGGCATATAAACTAAGGTAATACATTTTAAACTATGAAAAGATTATACATAACCAAAGTGCAACCATTGTCATAAAAAATTATATAAAACTGATAATTCAAACCTTTTTCCTTATACTACAACTGTAACATGTAAAATCATCCTTTCACATATATATAAGGCATATAATGCTAAATCATTGTATTAAGAAAAAGTTTAGCTTTCTTTCAAATCGTATAGCATGTATATGCTCTTTATCACAATAAAGTCATATCATGCCAAAATCATCATACATAGTGAACCATTTCCTTTCATCTAAATCAAATAACTTGTATTGTTCACATATTCAGATCATATAACTTGTAATTTTCAGTTTCATATAAATATATTCCGATGTAAGTTAGATGATAATACAAGGTACGCGGTTAGACGAGTGTGCACAATATGCCCTCTAGATGCCATCATATATCAATTGCACTTGAAAGTGTCTCTTCAGTAATATGCACTCGAAAATACCTAATATAGCTTGCACCAACGGTGCCACATGTAATGTACACGAATGTACTAGTTCAGTAATCAATAATCACTCTACCTTATGGCATGCCAATTGTACCTACGACTCTCAATGCATATACAATGGGCTTTTACGTCATAATCATATCTCATTCGTATATTCAATGTATTCATATATACTGCATATCCAAATATCATATAAAAGTGTGTTGGGCAATTCATACCCAAAATCATCCATAACCATATATTAGAAATCGTATAAAATAATTTGAATAGTTCATACCATGTAAACATTTCGAAACCATTTTGAGAAACTATTTAAATATTATTAAATAAAACATCATATAAAAATATATTGAGTAATCTATACTCAAATCATCTTAATATTGTTTTGTAAACAATATAAAAATAAATCATAAATAATTTAAATATTTTTCTTTCCAAATCATTCGATGTTACCTCATCGCAAGCCGTCCTCATATCAATATGTTAGTATAAAGACAATAATGCACTCATCTGGTAATTCCTCACTAGTGAACCTCTTTTTTC